ACATATTTAGACTGTATTATATGCTTCTTTTATTACGTTTCATTTTATTCTAAAATTTAATACTTATAAACAGTTGTAGTATGATGATTTTTTTTTTATAGCAAGTGGGCAAACGAGCAGCAGGAAAACCGAGGTGTTCAACGACGCCCATGGACATCAATACCAGAGGAACCGCAGATGCGTTGCCGGCCTTTGAGATAGTGAAAATCTTTCAGTTACACTTACTTTTAAATGAACAAATACTTTTTGTAAATCTGATTGTTTATTGTTAAATTTAGCGTTAACTTGGTTGATACGTCTAGTTTAGAAAAATATTACTTTCGCGGAATTAAAAACAAAACTTAAAAAGCAGCCTAAGTGTTCTTAGATTATGTTCTATGTCTATGACAAATTTCAACGAGTTTCTTTGATCAATTTTGGAAATATCTTGTAACAAACCATCTAAACTTTCGCATTTATAATATTAGTAGAATAAAAATCTATTAAAACTTTACTAGCATAAATATTCAGCTGACAAATTAGAATATAAATCTTGACATTTTCTAGTAATATATTTTCATTCGACTTTTTTTAAATGTGATAGAACGTAATTGAGTTTGCTTAGCGACGACTACAAACTTTACGGTAGAACAGTTCTCCCTACAGCGCACTTATCTTAACAAGATAATCGGAATACTTGCGACTTTCTGTCTCAGATATTGCGAAATAAAAGTTGAAAAACAAGTCCAATGATATCTGATTTAGAAGACTATTTTTTTTATCTTTTAGATCCAAGACAGCTTCGATTATGTCAAGTTTCTTTTTTATGTACGGTTTTAATAAAAATCTTACTAATATTATAAATACGATTGGATTAAGGGCCCGATACAAAAGGCAGTTATCCTAGAAACCGCACGCATCGTGAGAAGGTTCCTGTCTCTGCAACTGATCACTGGTTGTTGGAGTCATGGGACTCCGCAGCCGGTGGTGCTCTATTTTTAATATAATATATTTTGTATAATTTTTTATTAAGAATATGATAAATAAATGTATAAAATTATAAATACTAAAGATTAGACGGATGGATAGAAGTATGTTTGTTTGAAGGTATCTCTGGAACGGCTGAACGGATGTCGCTATAATTTGGTGTCGATGTAGAACATAGTCTGGTACAACACAGAGGCAACTAATTAAGTTTGCTTTTAATTCCGCGCGGACAGAGTCGCGGGCGATAATCAGTAATAAATAAATGAATATTTTTTTATAAATTACTTTATTATTTATTTCCTTGTTAATTAAAATAGTATTTTTGTGTTATAAAACAGCTAAAACTCGTATCGTTTTGTTTATACCAAAATAAAAACACAATAATTTTTTTTAAGATCTTTGAGAAATAGAAATAGTTTGAAAATAAACGCAGAAAAAAATACCTTCAGTATATTTGGGCTTTTGTAGAATTACATTTGAATAGAATAAAAGTATATTGTGTTCTTATTTGAGGTCTATCCACTGAATTATTTATTTAAGACCCTTCGGAAGGTAAACAGCATTGGTTGCTTCAACGAATTTTGTTTCTTGGAATAAAATATACCCATATAAACTTATAGTGGCCCTTAACACTAACTGATGTTTTTAGTTAATTTTTTTTCTATTAAAAGAATTGATGAAAAATAGACATGCTGTAGGTCGCGACTCCGTCCGCGTCGGAGTAAAAAATAGATGCCGATTATCAAACCTAGTAAATATGCATATAAAATTTAAATCTGCCAAGTAATTTGGTAGCAGTATGATAAGTAACATTGTTACACGAATTTTATATAATACTAGCTGTTGCCCGCGACTCCGTCCCCGTGGAATGAAAAAAAAAATTAATTAGTTCTCGGCAGTTATTCAAATTTTTCTCACCTTTTAAACCTTTCCTAGACCTCCACGAAACTTTTCCAAGACCAAGATGAGGTAAACCCGTTCAGCTGTTCTCAAGTTTTAGCAATACTAACAAAAATAATAATAAAAAACATTGGTACATGGCGGGATTCGAACACAGGATCTGCAGATTGCAAGTCAAGTGCTTGACCCCTAAGCCACCGACGCTCTCAAATTGATGCTTGATTTTTAAATATATAAGATGATTACATACATGAGATGTATGGGCAGATGATTGTATGTATGGATGTTGTATCAATATGGCAGTATAATATTTGATTTTTTTATTTAATTATTTATTAAATCAGTTGTTTACATTAACAAAGTAATACTAAATTAGTGACGTATTGTTGAATTTTGAAGAGCGGTATGGAAAATTCCAACAGGAAATTGCCCATTGTCGGGCTTTGTTTGACAATACAACGGCTTTTTGTTGAATTTCGTGTGAATCACGATTATTTTGATTTTTAATATCTTTTGTTTGAAAATATTTGGCATGCTCTGTTCAGTAAATGTTTTAAAATATTATTAATAAATTGAAAAAAAAATATCAAAATAAACCATTTTAATTTTTTTTTCATAATGTGGCAAACGAGCGAGCGGCCATCTAAAATCGCTGAAATAGCGAAGTGACCGTTGCCCGTAGACATACGCAATTGCATATGCGTTGCCTACCTATAATCAACGGAGGAGAGGATGCACAGAAATAAAAGATCCCTTCCCATGCATCCTCTCACCCGGAAAGTCCACTTCCAGTTCCCATCCTTTCCTTATGAGAAAAAGGGTTAAGGGAAGGGGGAAGGGAAAGAGGACTAAATTAGGCCTCCAGGACGCACACTTATCAGACGAAACGCGGAATTGCTTCCACTTCACGCCTGTTTTCTGTGTGGTCGTGGTATTTCACCGGGTGAGCCGGGCCAATTCGTGGGAAGATGTTAACGCGGGCTCTACCACTGTTCAATTGTAACCTGATCAAAGTAAATAAAAACAAGTTTAATTAAGCTTAATTAAAATTAAAAAGAAGCCTTTAATATGCCCGCAGGTATCAGCTACCTTCCGTTTAAAGTCCCGTCGAAAACGGTCCAGTCGTTCTGGAGATTATCCGTAAAAATTATGGCCTTGCGAAGGCAAGATGGACAAAAGTTTAAAAAAAATCTGTTTTTCGCTATCAACAACGAACATATGTCATGTATATAAAATATGATTTTTTTTCAGTAAACAGACACTACATTTTTATTTTGTATTAGCTATCGCCCGCGACTCCGTCCGTTCGGAATTAAGAAAAAAACTAATAATTAGTAGCCTAAATGTTCTTCCAGACTATGTTTTACATCCATGCCAAATTTCATAGAGATCTGTGGAGCCATTCCAGAGATACCGTCAAACAAATATCCATCCATCCATCTAAACATTCGCATTTATAATATTAGTAAGATAAATCTTTAAAAGTATTTATGTTTGGGTCAATTAAACGTCTAGCTAAGTAGATCTTAATATATGGTATTCGATTAAAACTTTTCACAATGGTTTCAGTTCATTAAAACAAAATCACACAACTAAGAACACGTCAGAATAAGCGTGATGAGGGTAACAAGAATACACAAAAGGTCCTCGGGTTTTCACTTAAACTCTATCGCTTACATTCAATGTACACAAAGACCTCTATTTAAATAAACAAGCTTGGAATATAATAACAAAGAAAGTATATGCGCGTTATTAAAATATTTTTTGACGACGATAATTTTTAACTTCAAAAAGACTGAGTTTTGTAATTTGTCTGTATGTTTTATTTAATTACTAGCTATCACCCGCGACTGTGTTTGCGCGTAATTAAAAAAAACAAATTTAGTAAGTAGCCTTTGTGTTCTATGTATGCCAAATTTCATCGAGATCTATGCAGCCGTTCTACTTTCGTTCGATCTAAATACGTTCAAACATCCATCCATCTAAACATTCGTATTTATATTAGTAAGAAGTAAATATCTCTGTTCATAGTAGGACTATTATCTTTATTATTAAGATTATACGTGTTTAAGGACATATAGATTAACAGATACTATGTCAACATTTACGCAATCTTAGACAAACATAAATTATATACATAGTTATCTATCAACATTGTAAGTAATTATTCATGTCTCGTTTATATATTTAATTGTTGTGTAGAAATATTAGACTGTTTTCTTGCTTGAGAATTTTATATTTTTATTAAACAAAAGATGCATTAAGTCAATAGCATAATATCTCTTTTACAATCAGCATATTTTGTAATGTTTTTTTTTTTTTTTAATATAAGAGGTATTGTTGAAATAAAATACAATTCAGGATTTTTTTCTTTAAAAGGCAGTAATTTGATGCAGATTTAAAAATGATATGCGCTGTATTTTATGTTGTCTGTACCAAATCATATTGATAGTAATGCAAATGTTTGTATAGATGGATGGATTTTTCTTTGAAGGTATCTCTGGAACGGGTCAACAGTTCTAGTTGAAATATAGCATAGATGTAGAACGTAGTCTGGAAGAACACATAAGCTACTCCTTAAGTTTTCTTTTAATTCCGCACGGACGAATCGCGGGAAACCGCTTGTAATGTTATAAAATCGAAACATATGACTGTTTGTCCGTTTGTTTGCATTGTGTAAACTCCGAAACTAATAAACTAATTTGAAAAATTCTTTCACTGTTAAAAAACTACACTATCCTCGTGTGACACGGCCTATATTTATTTATAGACTAGCTGTCGCCTGCGACGTCCGCGTGGAATAAAATAACATAATTAGTCGACTGTGTTCGTCCAGACTATGTTCTATATGTATGACAAATTTCAACGAGATCCGTTCAGCCGGTTACCTTCAGACATCTATCCATCCAAACATTCTCATTTATAATATTAGTAAGAAATTTAATTACTCGAGAGCGAAGTCGCGGGCAATTGTTATCTTTTATAAGCGGCATATGTAGAAGATAATTATTTCTTTGTACATTTATGACGTATAAATACTTATATTTACGCATTAATAATATATGTAATTGTTCTACACTGCTTGATTGTATGACACTTAAGTTTCAAGTTTCATTATAACGTTACCTTTTTCTTATAAATAAATTAAAAATAAATTAATTTGACTTAACCAAAGCTATTGTGACGAGTGAATTTAAAGTAATCACCCTTTAAGTTTGGATTTAGAAAGTGGAAGCTTTTGTAATTTTAATATTATAATAGTGAATTTGTGAAAAATATAAGAAAACGATAATCGATGTGTTTATGGTGACATATTTCTTACCGTGGACCTTTACTATCGAATTAATTGTACAAAAACATATTGTCCTTTTTTTATAATGATTGTAAGGAATAATATTATGATCATTGGAGTTTAGTGAAAATTAGAATTTAACAACTTGGTATGTACTCTTGTACTAAGATAATTTAAACAACTATATAAGAAGATACTAGTTGTCGCCAGCAACTACGTTCGCGCGGAATTAAAAGAAAACTTAATAAGTAGCTTATGTGTTGTTCCAGACTATGTTCTATATGTGTGCTAAATTTCATCAACATCCATTTAGTCGTTCAGGAGATACCTTTAAACAAACATCCATCTAAACACTCGCATTTATAATATTAGTATGATTGTTAGTAAGCATAGATAATGGTTAGTGAAATTAGCATTAAACGTAAGTTGCGAGATAACGTTATTTAACTGAATAATCTGGCTCTTGAGTTAAGAGAGTCATTGTTTTAGGTATACGAGGAAATTCCTAGTATTTATGTGGTCGTTGCTTTTATCATTATAGTGTTTTGTTACTATTTTTAATTATTACAATAAAAATATTAAATAAAACTTTGAGATATTTAAATATTTATATTACTTGGTAAGTATATATTTTAGTTCTTAGCTTATTTTTATGGATCGGGATACTTAATAAGATTGAATTCTAATCTAATAAATATATATTTTTGTTTTAAAATTGATAGTTATTTTTTTCACATTCATATTGTGTCTCCTTCCGCACGCCATTAAAAAAATAAAGAGAAGTCTAGTCCCAGAGCTATTGAATATGCATATAATTTCATAAAAATTGGTCTAGCATTCGGAGTAGTATGGTAACTAACATAGTGACACGACACCTATATATGTATATAAAAGAAAGTCCTGTAAGTTACACTAATTATAACTCAAGAATGGCTTCACCGATTTGGTTGAAAATTGGTGAGGAGGTAGCTTAGAGTCAGGAGACGGACATGTACTATTTATACATTTTTTTCGAATTTATGCCTTGAAGAGCTGCTTTTTATTTAAATTACTAATATTATAAATTGCAATGTTTAGATGGATATGATGTGGATGGATGGATGGGTGTTTGAAGATATCTCTATAAGGACTGAACGGACCTCGATTAAATTTGGCAGACGTATAGAACATAGTCTGAAAGAACACATGGGATATACTAATTAAGTTTATTTATATATCCACGCGGACGGAGTCGCTGGCGACAGATACTTTGATATACTTACCAAGGAATCCCCGTTTTCCGCAAAACATTTTACCAATAAATTATATTAATATCAAGTTATATTGCAGTGTACAGCGAAACATAAACTTACATAAGGAATATAAATAATTTTTATACAAATTATTCAATATGTTGCCAATATTTAGAGCGCCTCGATTCAAACAATATGCTTTAGTTTTAATTGGTAAGTATTTTCTATTATAACAATGATATTTCTATTTCTTAGAAATTAGCATAGATTTTTTTTATCGAGGAAAGTTTGAAATTCAAAAGACAGCCTTTAGGTAAAAAACGGGGTAATGCGAGACTTGACGTTAAGAACGGGACAGCGTAGCTAAATTTTTTACAATACCTAATTATGAAATGATTACTTTTGGTACTTGTATGTTCAAGTGTAGCTGTACAATAACTAATAACCGGATAAAGTTATTAATTGTGTTTTATTATTCTTTATTAATTTATTATCCAAAAATACGTTTCAAATAATCTATCGTTAAATGTATAAAAATTACAAAGAATTTAGCTATTAAATCGATCATAGTATTTTATATACATCATCAGCTAACTGTTCGTCCCCACTGAGGGGCTCGGAGCCTATCCTAAGTTAGGGGTGACTAGGCCATGACCGGTGTGTGCGAAGATTATTGACATGTGCCCACACCCCGGTAAACAGTGAGTCGAGGGAACCAGAGGGGGTTTAGTGGGTAGACTCCATTGCCTTTTAGGGATGTGGAGAGAGTCCCACATAACCGGAGTGGGTTTCCCCGAGGCACCCGGTATGCGTAACGCATTCCCCCTCTTAAAAAAAAGGGGTGACTAGGCAATTTTCAACCACGCGGCCCCGTGGTTGGTTGACTTTGAACATATCTTTTTAATTTCTTCGCAGATATTTGCAGGTTGCATCACGATGCTTTTCTTCACCATAAGAACGTCGGATAAATGTACATATGTAAATCGGAAATCGAAAACCACATTGGTACATGGCAGAATTCGAACCCAGGATCTGTAGATTACAAGTCAAGTGCTTAAACCCCTGAGCCACCGACGCTTCGTTCATAGTATTTATGTGTCTTTTAATATTAATAGTGAATTAATTTATTTCAGTCAATCTAGGCGTGATCACAACCGGTATGAGTCTGGCGTGGCCTTCACCGATTCTTGTCAAATTGAGAAATGAAACAGAGTCGCCATTACATCGACCCATTACTGAAGAAGAGGGTTCATGGATCGCTTCGGTGGGCGCGCTATGTAACACGTTCAGTAAGATTTTTATCGAAATATTATTTACCGTTGGTTTCTAAGACCACAATGTCTGTATAAGACATATTGTCATCCTTGTCATTATCTTTGACAAAACAGAGACAACAATACAAGATAAAACAAAGCTACTACTCAGATTAGTTAGATTTGAAATGAATGAATTAAAAACAAAGATAGTGGGTCATAAATACTAGCTATAAATATAACTCTCCTATTACCAGGGGTTTCTGAGACCAAAATCCCCGTTTAAAACATTATCATGTGTGTTTTGTCAAAGATGAAACAAATAGACAGGGATGATGATATGTTTTATAAAGAGATTTTGATCTCGGAAACCAACGCTTAATCTTGTAAATTAATCATTGTACATGTCTAGATTAGTGTCAATAAAGTCAGAAGAATATGTTTTTGTGTATCGTTTCATAACAAAGCGATATATATTTTCAGCTCTATGCTTCCTAGGCATGTTAATAGATCGTATTGGTAGGAAATATTGCGTGATACTAACATGTCTGCCTAAAATATTAATAAGCATCGTGTTTATATTTGCGAAAGAGGCATGGGTTTTGATACTAGGCCGTGCTGTAATTGGTTGTGCGGATTTATTCCTGTTTACTGCTGTCCCTATTTACGCTTCGGAAATTGCTGATGTGAGTTTTATGCTAATATTGTTTTGTTGTATTTATAATAATACATAAAAATGTAATAAGTCGTCATAGTCTAAGACTAGTTATCGCCCGCGACTCCGTCAAGTCGTCGACTATGTTCTACATCTATGTCAAATTTCAGCGGGATCTATGAAGTCGTTCTGTAGATACTTTCTAACAAGCATCCATCCATCCAGACATTCACATTTATTAGTCAGATAAACTGTTCATATGTCTTCAGCATTCGGGCTTGTAATTTGTACTGGCGACAATATTTTCGCTGAATTATTAAGTGAATTCAGATAAATCAGTGGATAGAAATGTATAGATTAGACACCAGGATAAAGACAGAAAGGTAAAGATTAGTTTCCTTTGCAGAAAGAAACACGGGGATCCCTCGGCACTTTGCTACAGATGTTAAGTTCATTGGGCATAGCTGTGACGAAGTCCATAGGTCCATTTGTGTCATATACAACGTACAGTATAATTTTTGCTGCTTTGAACGTTCTCGTGGCAATTCCAGTTTTGTTCTTGCCTGATAGTCCTTACTACTTGTATTCCAAAGGTAAGAAATTTGTACACTAGCTAAGGTTCATCATCATTATCAGCTCATACGTCCCCGACGAGGGCTCGGAGCATACCCTAAGTTAGGCCATAGTCAACTACGCTGGGCAAGTGCGGGTTGGTTGACTTCACACATATCTTTGAATTTCTTCTCAGATATGTGCAGGTTGCATCACGATGTTTTCCTACACCGGAAGAACGTCGGGTAAATGTACTTATGTAAATGGGAAATCGAAAAATACATTAGTACATGGCGGGATTCAAACCCAGGACCTGCAGATTGCAAGTCAAGTGCTTGACCCCTGAGCCACCGACGCACTTTACTTAATATGACTGTACTATTTTAATGTTTTAGTACCTCTTCATTACCGACTCTGAATGTTTTGTAATTGATTTAAAAAAGAAACCAATAAATGACCAAGAATGACGTTAAATTGTATATTTTTAAATACACAAAATTAACGCAATTGCAAATCAAAGTTTGATTTATAATATTTATATGTTATCATTTTTAGGTAAAATCGATGAAGCAATGAAAACATTGACATCACTTCGTGATACTGAAGAATCAGCTAAAGAAGAACTTGAAATGTACTCAGTTTCGGTTAACAAAGAAAAAGTCGATAAAGTTAAATTACTAAAGGACAGAGTATTTCTGAAATCAGTTGGGATAGCGATAGTCCTTTGTTTTATTACACAATTTATCGGTTTCAATGCCGTATCATATTATTTACAAACGATTCTAGTATCGACAAATACAAATGTTATGCCAGAAGTTGCATCGCTTGTGATAAGTTTGATACAAATTTTAGCAGCATTATGTGCAGCGATTGTAACTGATAGATGGAAACGAAGACATATATTGTTATCATCTCTTATTGGAGTCTTCATTGGATTGGTAAGATCTTTAATTTTCAATGCTTTTATGGTACCAATCTAACCTATCTTAAAATTACAAACACGTGGCGAATGCAGCCCATAGACGTTCGTAATCGCAAATGCGTGGCCTAAGTTTATCAACAGGAGACGCACAGAAAGATCAAATCCCATCCCTTTCCCATCTTTTCGTTATAAAAAAGGGACGAGAAGAGGAAGGGAACTTAAATTGGGATAACAATCTTGGAACATATTTTTATTTAGGTGTATAAAATTTAAAACTCAGTAGTTATCAGTTTTCTATGTATTTTTCAGGCGACGTTGGGTTTATTTTTCAAATTAACTGAGGAGCAAGAAGTGATAGGATTCTTAAATTACTTGCCAATGATATCACTGATAATAGTCGTTTATTGTTATAGTGCAGGTAATATTGATACTTAAGTTTTACGTATCTGGTGATGGGTGTAAAATCTAGTGGTTTTCTGCTTTAAGAGAACAAAGGGTTCAAATTTGATTATGCCTTAAAAGGGATCATAGAGTGATTTTTAATTTTTCACCATACCTTGGGCAGTGGTCAAGCACTTGACTTGCAATCTGCAGGTCCTGGGTTCGAATCCCGCCATGTACTAATGTGTTTTTCGATTTTCGATTTACATATGTAGATTTATCCGACGTTCTTGCGGTGAAGGAAAACATCGTGATACAACCTGCACATATCTGAGAAGTAATTCAAAAGATATGTGTGAAGTCAACCAACCCGCACTTGGTCAGCGTGGTTGACTATGGCCAAATCATCCTTAACTTAGGGTAGGCTCCGAGCCCCTCGGTGGGGACGTTTAGTGAGCTGATGATGATGACGACATTGGGCAGAAATCTTTATTAGTGTCGTAATTCTTTCGTTTATTTTCAGGAATAGGTTCTTTATTTTGGGTGTTGATACCAGAATTATTTGATGGACCTGGTAGAGCTTTAGGAGTTACAATTGCTATGGTGTTTGTATCATTTTGTATCTTCATAACCACGAAGTTCTTTCCCTTATTAACCGTGGCCATCGGACCAGCGTTGACTTATTGGTGTTTTAGTATCGTTTGTGCGATCGGTTGCATTTATGTTTATTTTTGCGTACCTGATACAAATGGAAAGACGTTCAATGAAATACAAAAAGCATTAAGCGGCGAAGAAGCAAGAGAAACAAATAAAAAGAATGAAATAAATGATAAATAAAATATTCCAAAAGCCGTACTTTTTTTTAAATTTTGACCTAAACGTCGCTGCGACAATAAAACATTAATAAAGCGGAGTTCAAAATAAAGAGCATATTGAACTTACTATCTATATATATGTAAACTGGATTAAAAGCATCCGTAGAAAGCATGCTAATTTCGTATATTAGGGTTTGAACTGCTAGCATTCAAAAGAAACGAAAAATTTTGGTTTTTAACTTTAAATATTGAAATTTACCCGAACATGGCAGGCTGAGAGGCTAGTTTAATTAATTGATCCGCTGTAATTACTCAGAATAATGGCTAACCTATCGTTTAGGACCGCATCGCCGAGCCTCATTGTTCTTTGACGGGTAAACTCAGACCCGAATCCTGTAATTAGATTGGATACGCTTCGACATCCCACAAGGGAACCATTATGAATTCATCGCTTGTATTTCATGTTACGTAGGTCAATCATTCTCAGATATTCGAAATTACTTATCATTGACATACTTAATACGTTAAATTGATGGAAAGAATTATAACAAACTTGCTGTCGCCCGCGACTTCCTTCGTGTGGCAAGAAATAAAACTTAATTAGTTCTCGGGAATTATTTGAATTTTTCTCACCTTTTAAACCTTCCACGAAGATTTCCAGACCAAGATAAGAAATCCGATCAGCCATTTTTGAGTTTTAGCGAGACTAACGAACATCAATTAAGTTTTATATATATAGATTAAAAATTATGAGAATTCTCATCATATCTTAGATAAGATTAAAAAATCCCAATGTAGATTTGAAAGTCGTGGATTCTAATGTAAGATACGATGATTACTACCATTTTATAGCGGCAACTCTTAACTTTAGTTGTAATTTAAGAACTATTGTAATAGTATTAGTAGATAGCTTCCTTTTGCATATGCTTTTTTCATTAATTAGTTATACTATTAATTAGACTCTGTGAAAATATGCCATATATACGCGATTTAAAATTTAAAAAAGCAAATGCTTGTACAATTCTGCATGCATGTCCCTTACTACAATATTCTCTGTTATCACAGCGGACGTTGATAGATGAAAGTCTGGGCACGTGAGAGTGACGTTGATTTAACCCAGCATGCTTCGAATATGGGACGACATCTGACTTATGTGACCAATTAAAACTGTGTCAATTTTGTAAGGAATTTAAACTACGAAAAATATAGGATACTATTTATTCTTTTTTTCGAATTCATGCCTTGAAGAGGTGCTTTTTATCTATATATTAAGTTTTTTTTACATATCCTCGCGGAGAGAGTCGCGGGCGACAGCTAGTTATTTATAATTCGTACTTAGAAACGATTTCTAACAAACAACATATTATGCATCATTATTAAATTGATGTAAGCGAATACATTTTGCATTGAAACTTTTACCCTTTAAACAATTTGATAACTTATTTTCCAGTTCGCTTCATATTTACCTTATCGAGAATTTCCATTTAACTTTCCTGTAACTTTATCACTTTAATTTTAAAAAGTTATAACTGTAACTATTCTATTGAGAAAGAAGTAGTTTAATTTAGACTCCTTTTATAATTATAATAATTAGCTTGCCAGCTAATGTTTATTGCGCTTATGTAAGTTTATATGTAAATTATTTTTGAATTGGTATGATGTACAAAAAAATCACTTTTTTTAGATTTTGTGAAATCAATCATTAAAAATATTATTTCCATACAAAGAACAAAAATTTGAGTAACAAATTAATGTCAAGGCAAAAAAAAAACACTGGTAAATGGCGGAATTCGAACCCACCACATGTATATTACAAGTTAAATGTTTAGCCCCTGAGCCGCCAACACTGCAGTATAGAAAGTCATTATTCGTCTTAGTGTATAGCTAAAATGTGTAAGGAATACGTGATCAATACATCACTGTCCGGTACATAGACAGCCACTAACATAAATCGTCTCGACACAGTAAATGTTTACTTACGTGCATGTATTCAACTGTAGGAAATATCCGATATCGTTTTGATACTTGATATTTGTTAACTTAAGGAAATTTGAATTTATATCAGTAATGCATGCACACTAGCTATCGACCGCGACTCCGTCCGTGTGGAATTAGAACAAAAGTTAGTGAGTAGCCTATGTGTTCTTCCACACTATATTTTCTTCTTCTTCGTACGAACTGCTAGTTGGCTAGTGAAGAGGCAAGCCTCGATCCGTTTACCGGACCGTACGAACTGTAAGTTGGCTAGCGGAGCGGCAAGCCTCAATCCGTTCAGCAACCCGTACGAACTGCAAGTTGACTAGTAGAGAGGCAAGCCTCAATCCGTTCACAAACCCGTACAAACTGCAAGGTAGCTAGTGGAGAGGCAAGCCTCGATCCGATCACCGCACCGTACGAACTGCAAGTTGGCTAGTGGAGAGGCAAGCCTCAATCCGATCACCAACCCGTACGAACTGCCACGGTCCAGATTCTGTTGAAGCGCAACCTCATAAGGGGTGCACCCCTTCTCGGCCAAGCATTGTATCATTGACGTCTCTTGTCAAATCTATGTCCATCCACGGCTTCGCACCAATACAATACAGGATGATCCGTGGACAGTCAAATATTCCCTTCAACGTTGTAAATTTGTATAAAATGTAACGCGATGAAAAGCCATCGTTCAAATTCAATTTAAACGAATGTGAATGAACATTCGAACGATGCTTTTTTAGTCGTTAGTCGATCGCACAACAAAAATACAATGCAAATTGAAACGGAGAATAATTTGGTAGTATTGTAATTTATAGCTGACTATTTAAATGGCAAGTAACAAAAAGTTATGTTATATTTAAGTCTTTTCAACTTTTCCACACTTTCAAAAAAAACTTTTCTAAAAAATTGATACAATTTTGTACCGGTGTTTTAACAAAAAAACGTGTTGTTTCCTTTTATTTGTGCTAAAAGTCAAAGATGATTCACATTTTGTCTTATTTCTCGATAAAGTTATATTAAATAATAAAATATTGGACAAATACATTACGAGCACAAAGTAAATTATAACGATATTCTGTTAAATCACCAAATTGAATAGCAAAATAAAGAAACAAAGATAATATCAAATGATATTATTTGTAACGATGATACTTGATCTTTTTCTATATTTCATAGAATTGACGTGGAACTTTATCAAATTATGTCAATAAAATTCGTAGGAAAGAATATATAAATTTTTGTTAAATAAAAAAAAAGAAATGTCTAAAATGAAAATTTCTATTAGTCCTCTTTCCCTTCCTACCATTTTTCTTATACGGAAAGAATGGGAAGTGGAAGTGGACTTTCCGGATGAAAGGATGCATGGAAAGGGAATATATTTTCTTTCTGCGCATCTTCTCCTCCGTCGATTAAAGGTAGGCAACGAATATGCAATTGCGTATGTCTATGGGCAACGGTCACTTCGCTATTTTAGCGATTTCAGGTGGCAGCTCGCTCGTTTGCCACCTTGCACCCATGCATCCTCTCATCCGTAAAGTCCACTTCCACTTCCCATCCTTTCCTTATAAAGAAAAGGATGGGAAGGGAAAGAGGACTAAATTAGGCCTCCGGGACGCACACTCATCAGACGAAACGCGGAATTGCTTCCACTTCACGCCTGTCTTCTGTGTGGTCGTGGTATTTCACCGGGCGAGCCAGGCAAATTCGTGCGAAGATGTTAAAGCGGGCTCTACCACTGTTAAATTATGATATAAAAAAAATCTAACATACAAATAAACTTAGTGATTGAGTAAGATTAGTATATCTTTGTACACAACAGTATCAATTGAGTATCTAAATTTACAGTAAAGGTTCACCCTTCGCCTAAACATGCGTAAATTAAGGCTTATCTTGGGCCTTTGATAACAATACCACTTTACGGTCGGGCTTCTAATGCTTAGAGTGAGTTCATACTACCATAAATGTAGATTACGTAAAAGAGGACCTTAATATGTTTAGTGGAAATGGTTTTAAGTTTTAATGAAGGATACCATAAATAATAAAAAAATAATGCAATATAACACACTATAAAACTCTAAATTTATATAATAACAGGTGTACAACATTGATACGAAACAAACAGGAAGTATAAACAAAGAAAAAAAAAATTAACAAACCAAAAAAAAAATATTAAGTAAGTATTCAGTGCCGATTTTTCTAAATAGAATGTAAGAGGTTACAATAAGTAAGATGAGATTAGATTAAAACTAAGCCCCAATAGCCTAATGCTTTAGGGTACGGATTTCCGATCACGTGGTATAGGGTTTGCACCTCATTTGACTAGTTGATATCAACCAAGCATAATACAAGAGCTTAGTTGACATTGTATTTAATAACATATTTGAAGATATAGTATGTTCTGTTGTAGTCTAATGCCGAATAAATGTATCGTGTGACCTACATAAATTTTATTTGGGTCAGCCGGACGACTCATCGGCAAATTAGATTGGCAAATATAATCTCGACGTTTATTTGTTCACCAATGATGTTGGTGCTTCATGTCAGAGAATGTTCTTGGTAAGATTTTTGTTTGTTATTTAACTACTTAATTATATGTTATTATATTTCCGATGTTCAGTTGTTTTTGCGGTGACGTAACGACATACGATATGATAGCGATATTTTCACGGAACCACGCCCTTGTGTGGGAAATTAATTCCCGATCCCCCAAAGTCGTACCAAGCGAAAATAAAGAGATTCCCCATTTATTCACATCTATCTATTTCGTTATTTGATACCACCTAAGTAGATAATGGAAAAAATATGCATTTATTTATAAATATTGATATTTCACGCCCTTTCTTCAAAGTCTTAGAGACCCAAGGGTTGAAAACTTTTATTACTCGATCGTCGTCGATGATCGTAAGAATTATCTTTGTTATTATTAAATTTAATTTACTGGAAAACCTATTATTGGCCTTGTTTTGTTTTATAAGTACTGGATGTTAATTTTACATTTTACTACGCTGTTGGTTTTCTTCTGCAATAAAATAAAAT